ACTCATCACCTCTGCCGCCGCGACAGGCATTCACACGCTCCTGCCCCTTGTTCTCGAGCCCAGCTTCAGACGGAAGTGCTGCTGCTGCTGCTTCCTTTCCCCCTCTACCCTCCAGAAAGAAGCGCTGCTCTCCAGGCACCGCCGGCCATGGGCCTTTTTTTTTTTAAACAAACGCTCAGGGCAAAGCTTCGCCCAAGCGCACATCACATACTTTTAAAAACAAATGGCGGGGGGAAATCGGAAGCCTCAGGCTTCCATACGGAAGTGGCTGTACAACGTTGGGGAGCGTTCAGACGGGGGGTACAGCGATTACAACCGTTGTACTCAGGATACCACCACTTGGGGACATAGTGGCAGAATACAACGGTGTAAAGCTGTTTACAACGGTTAGGGACGGAAGGCAGATGTTCGCTGTGTGAACGCCGGTAAGTACACCGATTGCAACCGGCACCTATTCCATTGTAAATGCCCTGTCTGAGTGTTGGACTGGAGGGGCCATTGTCCCGCTCCAACACAGCTTGTCTTCTGTTTTTACTTGTGATTTAAAATCTGGGTTTCTCTGTTTTTAATGTATTTTATCTTACGTGTTTTATCTGTATTGTAAGCAGCCTTGAGCTCTGTATGGAAGAAAGGCAGTTAATAGATGTTTTAAATAAATAAGATCTAAACAAAGAGAATAATAATATCGGCCCCAGTCGCTCAGTCTTACCTCCTCTGTCTGGCAGTGGCTCTCCGGAGTGTTTTCCCCAACACAAGTGGCTCGAAATCCTTCAATCAGAGGTGCCAGGGATTGAACCTGGGACCACCTGTATGCCAGGCAGGTGCCTTGCCCCTGAGCCATGGCTCCTCTGCAAACATTCAAACTAAACCAAAAACAGATTTGTTTGTGGGAAAATGCAGACATAAAAGATTCATGGCTTTCAACATCGCCCTTCCAGCCACGCTTAACCTTTGCTTCCTGCTGCTAGAAGGGAAATTCCGAAAACAGGGATGGGGCCTTTTGATCGATGCTCAAAGCACAAGTCAGTTAGCTAGATGATCTGACTATCCAGCTCTTTCCCCAGGGGGATCAGCAGCTATGCCTTCCACTGGGGAGAGGCAACAATCTTGTTTGCGCTGTCATTTACAGAGCATGTGGACGTCAAGATGGAAGAGCCAGATCCGGATGGACCCCCGAAAGAGGCAAGAGACCCCAGCGTTGCCCCTGTAGGAACCAGCAGGGCGTTCCCAAATGGGAGGGCTCCAAAGCAAATCAAGCAGGAACCTGAGGAGGGGCAGCAGGAGCGGTGGGAAGCCCAGTGGCAGGAGTTCCTGAAGACAGTGGAGTCCCCTCCCTCCGGATGGCAGCGCCCACAGATGCCTCAGCCGCAATCCTGGGAGGAGACAAAGTCTTTTCAGGATTCCTTCAGGGGAGCTGCGGAGGCCAGCCAGAGGCCTAGAGGAGGGCTTCAGTCTCAGACCTTTTCAGGCCTCCGCAGAACAGCCCGCAAGGCCCTGGGAAGCCCAGAGACCTCTGTGACAGTGAAAGAAGAGAGGCTGGATGAGGAGGGTGTCGGCCCTGAGGTGAACTGCTGGCGCTTCAGGCGCTTCTGCTACTGGGAGGCCGAAGGGCCTCGAGACGTTTGCCGGCGGCTCCAGGGACTCTGCTGTCAGTGGCTGGAGCCGGAGAGACGCACCAAGGAGGAGATCCTGGACTTGTTGGTCCTGGAGCAGTTCCTGAGCATCTTGCCAGAGGAAATGCAAAGCTGGGTGCGGGAAGGAGGGCCTGCGAGCTGCCTCCAGGCAGTGGCCCTGGCTGAGGCGTTCTTGCTGAGGCTGGAGGAGGAAGAGAGGCGAGGAGGGCAGGTGAGTGCTTTGCTGTTCGGCAAGTCTGAGTGGGGATGGGGCTGTGGCTTGGGGGCAGGGCATCCGCCTTTCGGGCTGAGTGTCCCACGTTCACTGCCTGGCACCTTCTAGGAAGGAGCCGTCTTGGCCTGACCTCCCGGACATCTGCTGGTGGTTGGTGTGAAATGACAGTGAGATGGACCAATGCTCTGACTAAGAATAGCAAGCCGTCACTGTGCTTTGTGGCAACTGTATTTTGTAGTTCATAAAAATACAAATGGTCCTTTCATGTCCCAAAACTAATGGGGGAAAATCCCACACTGATAATCTGATCCTATATCACAAAAATTAGAAAAGTCCCATCCTTGAGATATTGTAGAACAGCTTCTGTAGTAAGTTGACGAGCATCTAGATGTAAGCCCGTTTCATAGTTGTTCTCCCTCAGAAGTTATTCATAGTAGATCTCCCTCAGAATTCCCTAAAATAAACCACAATAATTATAACACAAAGGACACCGTGCAGCCATATGGAACCTTAGTGTTATAAGGGAGTATACGCTGAGGAAGATCTACTGTGAATAATTTCTGAGGAAGATCAGCTACGAAATGGGCTTCCATCTAGATACTCGTCAATTTACTACCGAAGCTGTTCTGCAATATCACAAGGATGGGTGTAATGATTTCATGTTTTGGTGTGTGTGCTTCTTTAAATGTTTAGTTTGACTGCAGTACTGTAAGAAGAGTAATAGAGGGAGACAAGTGTGATGTGATTGGCTGATGACTGACTGTGGGAGGAGAGGTGTCTATGAGGAGATTCTGTGTGTGAAGTTTGAAGAGAGAGCATAGTCCGTGTGACTATGGGAGTAAGACCAACAGTTTAGTCTGTGTGAATATGAGTTTTGAGTCTATTCTGTGTGAATAAGACAGAGTTCAGCCTGTGTGGCTATATAGATGAGCGAGAGATTAGACTGAGTGTCTACATCTGTCAGAGTGTAGTTTTGGGAGTTTGAGACACTGTGACACCAAGCTTTGCCAGTTATATTTACAAGTTTCTTTCATCCGCAACACTTCAAAATAACCAGAAACCTATTTTGTTCTTTATTAAAGAAATCATTTTTGTTTAAACTTATCCCAGAAATCAGAATAGTCCTTCCTCAGGGCCACATAGTCCTCTGAATTGCCCAGGCCCTATGTCATTCTACCAAAAGAGAGAGATTTGGATTTTTTAATTCCTGGTGGTTCTAAAAATAAAAACAGTCCCCCCAATAAGCGAGGATGTCACAATGGGACTTTTACAATTTTCGTGATACAGGATCGTATTATTAGTCGTGCGATATTTCTGTTATCTATGTGGTATGTAAGGACCATTTGTATTTTGATGAACTATAAAATACAGTCGCCACAAATCACAGTGATTTGCTTAGGTTTCACACTGTGATCCTGGTTTGTTTTTCTGACTAAAAATAAGGCCAGCTTCATATGAACACATGAAGCTGCCTTAACCCGAATCAGACCTTTGTTCCATCAAGGTCAGCATTGTCCACTCAGGGTGGCAGCGGTTCTCCAGGGTCTCAGGCGGAGGTTTTTCACATCACCTAGGAGGAGGAGGAGGAGGAGGAGATTGGATTTATACCCTGCCCTTCACTTGGAGTCTCAGAGCGGCTTTCAAGAACAGCTCTTGTCAGAGCTACGGCTTGCCCAAGGTCATCCAGCCAGGTGCAAGTGGAGGAGTGGGGAATCAAACCCGGTTCTCCCAGATTAGAGTCCGCGCACTTAATCACTACACCAAACTGGCTCTCTAGGGGACCTACTGCAGGGGTCCCCAGTATGGTGCCCTCCAACACCACCTCTTGTGCCCACCATGTGTTTTTAGAAAGAGGGCCAGGCTACATGGGGCTTTTGGCTTCTGATGAGCCATTGGTGATTTGATTGGCTGTGCAGATTTTTAAAAAATGTTAATTTGGCGGCAGCTGCCACCACAGCACCAGGATTTTTACTGTGTGACTGCCGATAACTTTGCTGTGTGACTTTGCACCACCACACTGTGTCAGAATTCCAAAGGTGCCCAGAGCAATGTTCCCTCTAAGCTGTGGAGTCTTGTGAGCAGGAATTCTACTTTGTGAGCTGCTGCCTTTAAAGTTGTGAGCGAGCCATTTGGCTCCTGCATCAATTAGTCTGCTCTGGAGCCCTCCTTCCTGAGCTAAGGCAAAGATATGTGAGCTGGAGGCTAAAAAACTGAGCTAGCTCACACTAACTCAGCTTAGGGGGAACACTGGCCCAGAGGCTCAAAAAAGTTGGGGACCCCTGACCTACTGCCTGTTCATTTTAACCAGAGATGCCAGGGATTGGAACTGGGACCTTCTGCATGCCAAGCAGACACTCTGCCACTGAGCCACAGCCCCTCTACCTGATCTCTGGTTTCAGAGCTGTCCCTGTGGGGTAAGGCATCCTGCAGCTGGGAAAGACATGGAACCTCCATGTGCGGGAGTGGTATACCACTGCTGGGAATCAACAATCTAGAAAAGGCACTTTTTTTGGCCTGTCATCTGACTGTTGTTGAAAACAGAGTGTTGGACTAGAGAGATCCTCAGTCTGAATCCAGCAAGCCGACTGTGGCCCTCTTGAATGAATGAAAATCGGCTCGCTTTACTGCTTTCGCTGCTGATACGGTGGGGGGGGGGTCAGGCATTTGTCCTTTCATTCCTGTTGTGACATTTCCCTGCCTCTGTTCTCTGGTTTCAGGAGCTGGAGCCTTTTGAGGAGGTGATAGTTCATTCCCCCAAGGAAGAACAAGATCCATCGGATACTGAGGAGATGCAGCTGTCTGGGGGGGCAAAGCAGGAGGGCGAGGCAGGCGCCAACTTCTTTGGTAACTGTCTGTAGGGTGCGATGGGGCCAATGGTTTTCTGAGTTTAACATAAGAACATAAGAGAAGCCGTGTTGGATCAGGCCAAGGGCCCATCAAGTCCAACACTCTGTGTCACACAGTGCCCAAAACTCAGGTGCCATCAGGAGGTCCACCAGTGGGGCCAGGACTCCAGAAGCCCTCCCACTGCTGCCCCCCCACAAGCACCAGGAATACAGAGCATCACTGCCCCAGACAGAGTGTTCCCTCTATACCTCTATACCTTGTGGCTAAGAGCCACTCACGGACCTCTGCTCCAGATGTTTATCCCACCCCCTCTTGCAGGCATTCAGACATGATGACAACATACGATTTGTCATTGTTTATACAGATCTGGGAGATCCTCTGACTCACGCGCTCCCTCACTCCTTCCCAGATAAGATACTTCTACTATTTTTGTTAGTCGCTACAGCTGGATCTTCAGAGATCAGAGTATGCAAACTACAATGATAATATATGACTTTACAAGAGGGGGAACCTGCAAGAAATCTACCCCCCCATCCCAGCCACTCCTTGTGTCCTTCCTTCTTGACCTACGGCTTTGGCAAAGTTGTTCTAGGTTGCCTAGGCAACCCAAAATGGCAGCTGAGATCTCATGAGGTAGTCTCCAAAGCATTTTAGAAGTTTTAATTTTTTTTTACTTCATCCTGCTTTTTAAAGTTTTTATATTTTTGCAGAAACCTGTACTTCTTCCCCAGGAACCACCCTCCCATGTGAATTTTTTTAAAATCCACATGGGGAAGGGCACCTGTGGCTAGTACGTATTGTTTTTTATTGCTAATTTATAAACGTATCTTTGTATTGTTGTACACTGCCCTGACCCCTGTCCCCAGGGAAGGCGATCTAAAAATCAAATCTAATAAATAAAGAATAAACATATGATTATTACTTAGCAGGTATATAGCTATCAGTGTTGAAGGCACTTCACACACATTAACCCCCCCACCTATATGTAATGTTTGAGGGAATTCTGTTTCACTATTATCTGAAGAAGAGTGCATGCGTGCCAAAGCTTATACACAGAATTAAACTTCATTGTTAGGGGTGGGCACGAACTGCATTTGCACAGTTTGTGTCAGTTCGTGGACGAATCGTGAACCAATATGAACCGTGAGGCTGGTTTGTGAAAGCAGGGGCTTAAATGGCTCTGAACCACAAACCGCCAAAATTCGTCACGGACATATGTTTGTGGGCCAATTTGTGCCCATCTCTGTTCATTGGTCTTAAAAGTGTCCCACTGGACTCAGACTTTGTTCTACTGCTTCAGACCAACACGGCTACCTAACTGAATCTATCCCGACAACCCTGTGAGATAGTTTTGGCTGAGAGACAGTGACTGGCCCCAAGTCACACAACAAAATCTATGTTAGAGCAAGGATTTGAACTCACTCCTAGTCCAGTGCTTGAAAACCACTACACAATGCTGGAGACATTCCAGACACAGGTTAAAAATCCCCATGCAAAAATACAACTTGCTGCGTGATCTTGGGCCAAACACATCCATGCAGCCTGAGATAAATCACAGGACTGATGTGAGGATTAAAGGAGGAAGGGCAAATAGATCCTGTCCGTTTTTCCTGAACTCTTTAAAAGAAGGGTGTGGTGGAAGAGGAGGAAAACAGCTAATGGTGAAATTATCAATAAAGATTGTTTTAAAAAAAGAAAACAGCTAATGGTTTTCTGTTTCCATTCCAGTACGCGATGGGCAGACGATTGAGAACGAGGCAGAGAATCTTCCTCCCGAGGAACCCGCACACGTGGAAGCCAGCAAAAGGCTGACGGAATGGGTGGAAGGGAAACTGAGGCAGGATTTTCCTTTTGTCCGAGATGGCGAGAAGGAAGGGCAGGACCTTCCACCAGAGAGAGCCAGACCAGATGAAGGCTGCGAAACCTCTTTGGAAAAGCGCAAGGGGACCCTCGTCCATGTTTGTTTAGGGGATGGAGCACCGGGAAGTCAATGGGGGTCAAAGCGAGCCCCAGAGAATCGCCCAGGGAAGATGCTGCGGAATGACTTTGACTGCAGGGAGGAAGATGACAGAAGCTTAAATGAGAGCCCTTCCCGAGTGAAGGTCCCCGAGGACACGGCTGAGTGCGGGAAAAGCTTCAGTCCGAGTCCGGACCTCGGTCCGCCTCCAAAGACTCAGTCCTACGAATGCTCGTACTGTGGGAAAAGGTGGCCGTGCCAGTCTCAGCTGCGCAGGCATGTGAAAATCCACACCGGGGAGAGGCCCCACAAATGCGCAGACTGCGGGAAGAGCTTCAGCACCAGCTCCAACCTCAGCCAACACAAGAGGGTACACACGGGCGAGAGGCCCTACATTTGCAAAGACTGCGGGAAAAGTTACCGGCGCAGGGCCTCCCTGGTCCAGCACGAGAGGGAGACCTGTGGGAAGGGAAGCCATTTGAACACTCCGGCGGTGGGCTACGTCGTGTTGGGAAACTGCACTTTGCTGTGCGTGAAAAAACCAACGGCGGGCGGGAGAAATCGTGTCATTGCTCCAAAGGGGGGAGAACCGCCACTGGCCCCTCCACCCCTAAAGGTCTTGACAGGGTATGCCCAGGAGAGAAGTATGAGTGAATAAACTGTGTTGGGAGGGGGACAGATTCTTGTGGCAGGGCGAACCTGGTTCAGAGCAAGACAGCTCTCACTGAGGAAGAGAATGGCTCGGAGCGCGGCCGGAACATTTTATCCAGGAATCAAAGGTTTCTCTCTGAGAGAGGAGGATAACGTTGTCTCACTGCCACGTCATGCAGAAAACCATCTTCCAATCCTGACTTGTTTTGCAGGGGGGCCTAGAATGGGCCGGAACAACTTGTGGCCCACCTGCCCAACGCAAGTCGCTAGCCGTGTACGGTGGCCTGCCGGGCATATGACAAATACCTTCTGCTTTTCCTGCAGGATGACACAGGCATAACTGAGAAAGGGGGCCTACAAATAAGCTAAGTAGATATTCACTATGGCATTCAGCTTGGTGGCACGCATATCGTGTCAATCTTTAAAAAAAAAAAACAAACCTGAGGGGGATAGATCTGGAAGGTCCACGGTGACTGTGGAAAGCCTTGCCCCGTTGGAGATCAGACTTCTGGTCAACGAGTGAGAAGGAGCCAAGGAACTACTATACGATGCTCAAAATAAAGGAGATGAGGTGACCCTTGCACTGAGCTTTATTATTGTATACAGAGTCCATGATATCTTTTCCTGAGAAGGAAAATATAAATGTGCCAGTAATTGGGGTGGTGGGGCAGTTAGACTTTTATTTTCTTAAAAGAAAGCGGATTGTGGTTGGGAGAACCCAGGTTTTGTGCAAATAAAAGTCTGGGAGAACTTTTAAGTAGAGGTCAAATTTTATAACACCTCACACGCAGATACCACAGTGAAACCTCCAGGCTAGAAGCAGAAATTCTAGGTACAAGGTCATGAGACACCTGACTGCAAACTCTCTCCAGAGACTGAACTGGATTAGAACCTCTTGGCTGAGCTAGAAAAAAGTCACTGAGATTACAGCGGGGGGGATTATATCATGCCTACATTTTTTTAGTTTTTCACACACACACCCATATTATGCATTTCAGGGTGTCACTGTCCTTGATATAGGTCATATAGATTTTTCCTTAGGAGAGAGGCAATTAAATCATCTCTGTACCCAGCCTCTGATAGGCTAATAAATACATATTGAGAAATAGATAGGTAAGCCCCCTTTGTAGGGCAAAAATCTTCCTTGTCTAGGAATCGAACCTGGGCCATGGCGGTGAAAGCGCCAAATGCTGACCACTAGACCTCCAGGGAGAGAGGCAACTAAATGGTCTCTGTACCTCAGCCTCCGATAGGCTAATACTACATACTGAGAAATCCAAGAATCAGTGAGTCATCTGCGAAGGGCAAAAACCTTCCCTGGCCGGGAATCGAACCCGGGCCGCAGCGGTGAGAGCGCTGAATCCTGACCACTAGACCACCAGGGAGAAAGACAAGGAAGTAGTCTCTCTGCTCCAGCTTCTGGTAGGCCAAAACCGCATGAAGAAATCAAGGGATAGGTGCGTCACCAGCCTAGGACAAAAACCTTCCCAGGCCAGGAATCAAACCTGGATTGTGGTGGTGAAAGCACTAGACCACCAGGGAGAGAGGCAGTTAAATAGTTTCTGTACCCCAGCCTCTGATAGGCTAAAAATACATATTGAGAAATCAAAGGATATGTGAGACACCTGTGTAGGGCAAAAACCTTCCCTGGCCGGGAATTGAACCCAGGCCGCAGCAGTGAGAACACTGAATCCTGACCACTAGACCACCAGGGAGAAAGACAAGGAAGTAGTCTCTGTGCTCCAACTTCTGGTAGGCTAAAACCACACAGAGAAATCAAGGGATAGGTGAGCCACCAGCCTAGGGCAAAAACCTTCCCTGACAAAGAATCGAATCTGGGCCATGGCGGTGAAAGCATCAAATCCTGACCACTAGACCACCAGGGAGAGAGGTAATTAGTGTCTGTACCCCAACCTCTGATAGACTAATAAATACATATTGAGAAATCAAAGAATGTGAGCCCCTTTTGTAGGGCAAAAACCTTCCCTGGCCGGGAATCGAACCCGGGCCATGGCGGTGAAAGCACCAGATCCTGACCACTAGACCACCAGGGAGAGAGGCAATTAAATGGTCTCTGTACCCCAGCCTCTGATGGGCTAATAAATACAAATTGAGAAATCAAAGAATGAGTGAGACATCTGCGAAGGGCAAAAACCTTCCCTGGCCGGGAATTGAACCCAGGCCGCAGTGGTGAGAGCGCTGAATCCTGACCACTAGACCACCAGGGAGAAAGACAAGGAAGTAGGCTGTATGCTCCAACTTCTGGCAGGCTAAAACCACACAAAGTAATCAGGTGAACCACCAGCATAGTACAGAAACCTTCCCTGTCCAGGAATCACACCCAGGTTGGCTGGAGTGTGTGTGTGTGTGGGGGAATGGTGGGAAACCGGGAGGGGGCCATTGGCAGTGTCTCAACATGCTGATGTCACTTCTGGGCACACAAGAAGCAATGTCACCATGTGGCCAATGAGCCCCCCCCCCAAGGTAAGTCTCCTGCCAGTTGCCAGGGAGGACCTGGCAACCCAAATTAACAGCCTCTGCACTGTCCTCTGGGTCAACCAAGGCAGCAAAACAGGAAGCAGGGGTATGTCCTCCCTGATGGTGGTCTTCCCAGGCCTGGTTTGGGAGGGGCTCCTCGGTGTTCACCATGGACCCTGGTCTACATCTATGGGAGAAGGATTGCCGTGTCTTGTGAACTACTGGCTTAGGGCAGCAAAGAGGGGAAGGATATCTTTGGAGGATAAAAAGCAGAGGCCCCACACATAGCAGAGGATGGTTTCAATCCATCGACCTCTGGGTTATGGGCCCAGCACGCTTCCGCTGCGCCACTCTGCTGGCTGCCTGGGGAAAACTCCTCTCTGGCTCCTGTCAACCTGGCACCTTGGCAGTGCGATCATTGGCCGGCACATCTGGCTGTTCACCAGATGGTGATTTGAATGCCTGCAGGGACGTGTCTAGCTGTGGCTGAGTGGGGAAAGAAATGGGATACTCATCTGTTCTGCTCTGCATTGGTAGGCTTAACTCCTTCCCTCACTGAGGCCTTTTAAAAAACTAGACATAGGAGAAGGCTGTTTGGCTGCACGGTCAGTATGGTTGCCAGGTCCCCCCTGGCCACTGGGGTGGGGGATGGGATGGGGGGTAGGCTTGCCAGGTCAAGGTTGGGAAACTCCTGGAGATTTAGGGATTGAGCCTGGGGAGGATGGGGACCTTTGTGGGGCATCCCTTTTCTCCAAGGGAACTGATCTCTATAGTCTGGAGATGAGCTGTAATTCTGGGAGATCTGCAGGCTCCACCTGGAGGGTGGCATCCCTACTTCCTGAGGAACACACTCTGTGGGCTGACAATGCCCTATCCTAAGGGATCTGGCAAGCTCCAAGTCGTTCTTGGTAGCTAATTGTGCCTTCCTGGACTGATGCCCAGGCGGCCACCAGTCCTCCTCTCTGTGTGTCCCATGCCCTATCCTAAGGGATTTGGCAAGCTCCAAGTAGTTCTTGGTAGCTAATTGTGCCTTCCCGGACTGATGCCCAGAAGGCCACCAGTCCTCCTCTCTGTGTGTCCCTACTCACACATATATTGTGGCAAGCAGAAATTCAACTGGTGCAGCTATGGCACCTTGGAGACCCAGTCAGAAATTCAACTGGCGCAGGCAGCTATGGCACCTTAGAGAGGCAGCAAAGAGGAGGAAAGCTGTGGGCATGCTGCATTAATCAGGTTGCGCACAAAGGCTGTTTTATTGGGGGGGGGTCTTTTCTCTGCCGCTTTGCCAGCAGACACTGGAAAGGGTTAAACACACTGAGGTCTGGTTTTCTAGAGAGGGTGGGGGGGATGGGGGGGTATCGGAGCTGCCGTTTTTCCCCCTCCCGAGGGAACTTCTCTTTGCCATCCTCTCCTTGCGAGGAGGGGGTGCAGAGTCGGTGCGGAAAGGGAACGCAAAGGCTGGGAGGCAGAGGAGGCGGCCGTGAGTGCAAGCAAGGAAGCAAAGATGGAA